GGATTTTTTAAAGAATCTTTAAATCTTTAATCTTTATCTGAAACACCAGACGATTTGTTGCAAAAAATATTCAATGCAAAGACGAATGGTTGACTTCTAAAATTGGAAGATAGCTGCTGACAACAAAGTTAATTCTACATACAAGATCCTGACTCTGGATATAATACAGCGAATTAACATTACCAGAACTTGGTCAGAAACAAAAGTTCAGTTTAGAAAATAGATTTGCTAACCACTGCTCTATGGCAGGTGCATTTCCCATGTTATTTCATGAACCTTACATCCCAAGCAATATGGCAAGATACATGTCAAATTGACTTCCCGCCATGAAACCTTTATGCAGCTTGTTGTGTCTGGCATAATAATTCAGAGGAGCGAGAGAAAAGTGAAGGAGAAAGAGAAGGAGAGAGAGAGAGGGGGGAGAGATACGTCGAGTGAAGCGTGACAATTTGTTATGCGTCAATAAAGTCCGAGTGTATGGCGCCGAGGATGAAATAAAAGTTTATCTAATCGAAAGCAGATTTGGAAGAGTGACAAAGGTGTTCATTTTTATATGAAAGGAGAAAGATGTGAATTGTTGGCGAAGAGAAGGGATGGAAAAGAAGAGGAAGGTAGAAAAAGAGGAGAAAAGAAAACGTGCGAACATGACGTTGCTATGAGATCGGGGAAGAGGAGATCGGAACATCGAGAAAGAGTGGGACAACGATGTGAGAGAGAGAGAGAGAAGAAAAGAAGAAATTTAATAGAAAAAGATCAGGTATAGAAAGAAAGAAAGAAAGAAAGAAAGAAAGAAAGAAAGAAAGAAAAAGAGGGCATAAAAGGAAAAAGTGTATTAAAAAGTCTTTAAAACAATAAAAGGAAAGTAAGAAAGAAACCATGATATATATGAAATAAAGAAAGAACAACGAATGAAGAATATGTATAAGAGAAAGAAAAGTGTTTGAGAAAGAAAGAAAGAAAGAAAGAAAGAAAGAAAAGGTTTTATAAAGAGAAAGAAAATTTTAAAAGAAAGAAAGAAAGAAAGAAAGTAAGAAAGAAAGTAAGAAAGAAAGAACGAAAGTGTTTAGTAAAGAAAGAAAAGTTTTAAAAGAAAGAAAAAATGAATGAATGAAAGAAAAAAGAAAGAAAGAAAAGCTTTAAAAGAAAGAAAGAAAGAAAGAAAGAAAGAAAAAAGAAAAGAAAGAAAGCAAAGAAAAGTTTTAAAAGAAAAAGAAAGAAAAAGAAAAAAGAAAAGTTTTAAAAGAAAAAGAAAGAAAAGTGAATAAAAAACATAAGAATATAAATGAAAGACAGAAATTAAAAACGTCGATCAAGCCATGAATAACGTATAAAAAAAGAAAACCAGAACAAAAAGAGTTACTCACCCTACGTTCAATCGCTTTTGAAGAGAACCCAGCCTGATTTACTATTTAACTTATCTTATACCAAGGACATTTGTCACAAAGTTAAAACAAAGTTAAAGACTTCACCTGGAATTTGAATTCGACATGACACACCCACTTTACAGCGTAAAGTGTAGTCAATGAATATCGAAATGACTACACTTTCAATCGTCCCTAAATGACAGCTTAGCGCTTCTGGCACAGTGCAACAATAGTGGGTCACCCAGTGAGGATCGAATTCAGTGAATCAGCGTGGTCATAGAAGTAGTAGACCATCAATGCGAAACTCTCGGTGTTGCGTGTGTCCATTTGAGCTGGAATGATTTTTAGTTGGTTGTTTTCGTATAGTGGCATATCACCACCTCTATGGGTTATTTAATGCCAGAATCTAAATATGAACATTAAGACTTTATAATTAATCCAAGAGAATGACATTTCTTGATTAAATTATAATTATTATTTTTTTTTTTTTTTTTTTTACAAAAATAAACGAGGAGTGAAAATCTGTTTCTCCCGACAAGAAATAGGGTTAATCATAGAAAATTGTTTTGTATTTGTTTATTTTTGATAATGTCTTGAAAAATGTATTTTTATACTTTCCTCGTGCTTTGATTTTCGTCTGGGGGTTTCACTGCTTGTCTGTAGCTTAATATTCCTTGGCTTCAGTTAATTTCCTGCCGCCTTAATGTAGTTTATCTATGTCTTTTCAATAAATACTTCCATGATAATTGTTTTGAAGAACTTTCCTCTATGGTACTTAGACTTTATGAATTTAGTACGAGATTGGCGTCAAGGCTTTCTTTATTTCTACTTGGAATGGTTACATGCAACCGTAAATTCTATGCTAACAGCTTTTTTCATCGCACTCCTCGCTTGTGAAACTATACTTAACATCTCCTGGAGACAATATCCACCTAAGTCACAGCTCTATAAACCCACCCCTGATATTTCTGCAGTCTTAAACGAACGCAGAATACTCTTTCTACTGGCGAGGAAAACAAGAACTGGCGAGCTATCTTCTGCTCTGGGCACAAGTCAGAGCGCAAGACGAGCTTCTTGCTTCCCAGTCAACTTTGATCTTCAAGAATTGAAATGTAATGTCAATCGTTATCTTTTGTCTTCTTAATTCTTGTCCTTTCATTGTCCTCTTTCCTTAATAGTAGTTTTTCTCATGTTTTTTTAACACTTTGTAAACTCTTGCGTCCTAGTGGCTTTATTGCCTTGCTTCGAGTGAAATGATTAAAAAAACAAAGCTGGGCCCCTAAAAGTTGTAGACCTGGGAACAACAGGAATTAAGAGATAGTTCCAAGCACTTCAAACCCTCCAATCTCACGACAGCCCTGGATACGAGGTTAAATTACATCCGGCAGCAAAGCCTCTGATTGGGAGATTGGAGGTTTTAATGAGCGTTGAACCACCTCTTAATTATTACTGTTTCTAGGTCGACCTTCATTCGGAGTGGTGGCAACAGTTAGGGTCCCGACTATGGGTAAATAATGAACTCCAAATAAAAACAAAACACTACGAAAATATAAAAATACCAACAATACATTTCTATATAAAAAAATTACCAACATTACCTATTTATAGTAGTGACCAACAAAACCTATTTATAGTAAAGTGACTAACAATACATTTTATCTGTAGTTGAAGGCATACAACTGCGTTCAAAATATTTAGATTTTGGCATTAAATAACCCATAGAGATGTTGACATGCCACTAAACAAAATCAAGCATCTAACCAGCCAACATGAAAGAATTCTTTCATGAAATGAATCCATATAATATTCTATAATTTCTTGACGAAAGACCGTATTCCAAAACATCAACAAAACTACAACATAAAACATATGTCTATCACCGCCTTTTGTAATTATGTCCACTAAACATGTATATGCACAAAAGCTGAGTATTGTGTACCATGTAATCAACTGTGAAAGCAGAATAACATATATTTTTATTGCTTCAAAGCTCCAATGAAAATTATATTTCGGCATTAAATGACCCATAAGGATTTTTATATACCGTTAAACAAACAAATCTAAACAAACACTTTAATCTCCTGATCAGAGGCCTTGCTGCCAGATGTAGCTTATCGTCAGATCCAGGACTAAGATTCTGAGGTGATATTTCTCGGAGTGCTGTTAAATGACACAAGTACATTGTGGAAATAAGTAGGCGTCTAAGATCGGCTGACGAATTTAAGACCCCATCTGCTTAGCATCGATACGAATTTGTGCGTCATTAGTAAGTAATTACCGCCTTACATGTCATCTATGGCTTACGTGAAGAGATTGTTAGATAGAAAATAACGTTAATACCATCATGGGATAGAGGAAAGTTAGGTTGGGGGTGGGGGTGAGCGGAAAGGAAAGGGTTGTTAAATACAGACTGGAGAATAGGGTAATGAAATAAGAAAGAAAGAACGAAATAAGAAAGAAATATAGAAAGTAAGAAGAACAGTAAAAGAATGAGGGGAAGAAAGAAAAAAGAGGAATGGATAGAAAGAAAGAAAGAAAGAAAGAAAGAAAGAAAGAAAGAAAGAAAGAAAGAAAGAAAGAGAAATAAAGGCGTCTAAAAATGAATGCGAGAATAAAGGAAAGAGTCTAAGAAGGAAAAAAATTAGGAAAGTAAGAAAGAAAACACGTGGGAAAAGAATGAGAAGAAAAATAAAAGGAGTTTGAAAAGAAAGAAAGAAAGAAAGAAAAAAAGAAAGAAAGAAAGAAAGAGAAATAAAGGCGTCTAAAAATGAATGCGAGAATAAAGGAAAGAGTCTAAGAAGGAAAAAAAATTAGGAAAGTAAGAAAAGAAAACTCGTGGGAAAAGAATGAGAAGAAAAAATAAAAGGAGTTTGAAAAAGAAAGAAAGAAAGAAAAGAAAAAAGAAAGAAAGAAAAAAGAGAAATAAAGGCGTCTAAAATGAATGCGAGAATAAAGGAAAAGAGTCTAAGAAGGAAAAAAATTAGGAAAGTAAGAAAGAAAACACGGGGAAAAGAATGAGAAGAAAAATAAAAGGAGTTTGAAAAGAAAGAAAGAAAGAAAAAAAAAAAAAAGAAAGAAAGAAAGAAAATAAAGGCGTCTAAAAATGAATGCGAGAATAAAGGAAAGAGTCTAAGAAGGAAAAAAATTAGGAAAGTAAGAAAGAAAACTCGTGGGAAAAGAATGAGAAGAAAAATAAAAGGAGTTTGAAAAGAAAGAAAGAAAGAAAGAAAGAAAAGAAAGAAAGAAAGAGAAATAAAGCCGTCTAAAAATGAATGCGAGAATAAAGGAAAGAGTCTAAGAAGGAAAAAAATTAGGAAAGTAAGAAAGAAAACTCGTGGGAAAAGAATGAGAAGAAAAATAAAAGGAGTTTGAAAAGAAAGAAAGAAAGAAAGAAAGAAAGAGAAATAAAGGCGTCTAAAAATGAATGCGAGAATAAAGGAAAGAGTTTAAGAAGGAAAAAAATTAGGAAAGTAAGAAAGAAAACTCGTGGGAAAAGAATGAGAAGAAAAATAAAAGGAGTTTGAAAAGAAAGAAAGAAAGAAAGAAAAAAAGAAAGAAAGAAAGAAAGAAAGAAAGAAAGAGAAATAAAGGCGTCTAAAAATGAATGCGAGAATAAAGGAAAGAGTCTAAGAAGGAAAAAAATTAGGAAAGTAAGAAAGAAAACTCGTGGGAAAAGAATGAGAAGAAAAATAAAAGGAGTTTGAAAAGAAAGAAAGAAAGAAAAAAAAAAGAAAGAAAGAAAGAGAAATAAAGGCGTCTAAAAATGAATGCGAGAATAAAGGAAAGAGTCTAAGAAGGAAAAAAATTAGGAAAGTAAGAAAGAAAACTCGTGGGAAAAGAATGAGAAGAAAAATAAAAGGAGTTTGAAAAGAAAGAAAGAAAGAAAAAAAGAAAGAAAGAAAGAAAGAACTTGTAGAAAAGGAATGAGAAAAATAATAAGAGGAGCGAAAGAAACAAAGAACACTCAGAATGAGAGAAAGAAAGAAAGCATGAAGGACAGTGAATAGAGAAAAATAAATAAAAAGACTATCAAAAGAAAGAAAGAGACAAAGACGGAAAAACTCAAGGGAAAAGAAAGAAAGAACAAAAGCCAACCGTGTCAGAAGAAAAAGTTTTTAGTTTTGATCGACAAAAGTCACAAAAGAAAAGAACAGTGAAAAAAAGTAAGAATACAAATAAACACTGAAATCATTTTTAAAAAGAGTGATAAGAAATTACTTTTCACGATATAAAATTCAGCTGATAAAAATTGAAGAAAAACGAGAGAGTATCAAGGAATAATGAAACACTCACGAAGCAAAAAATTATATACAAAAAAAAAAAATGGCGGAATAAGAAAAAAATGGCGAAATAAGAAAAAATGGCGGAATAAGAAAAACAGAAAGGAAAAAACTAGTTAGAGGACACGAGACCAAAAAAATGGAAGAAAAAAGATAAAAGAAAAATGTGTAAGCTAGAAAGAAGAAGAAAGTAAGAAGGAAAAACAAAACTGAAAAGAACTGTTAAAAACGAGTCACAAAATGGCGGAATGGCAGCCACTTCGGCCGGCTTGAAACAAGAACAATAATATGAACCGAACGTACTTAAATGCGTCATTCAAACGAATAATCCGTTTAAGCTGCATGAACAGGTCATGTGACCCATATCCGAAGGATCATTATCAGTACCAAGGAGACGCCCATCTTGGAAAGCCCGCTAAAGTAACTCGATTAGCAACTCCAGAGTTTCTGTATGAATTTAATGATCCCCATTACACCTACACACACACATACACAAATATATATATATATATATATATATATATATATATATATATATATATATATATATATATATATATATAGGAAAGATAGAAAGAAGGGAGACATAGGACGATCAATTTGATGGAATTAATACTGACAGAAAGAGACTGTGAGAGTTAGGTGTAATGCTATGAAGGTATGGCTGATTTTACAAATACGCAAATTTACAAGTACTGACTGTTAGAGGATAGAAAGACTTCGTTGTTCCAATATTCCATCACAGAAGTGTCTATCCGCCATCAAAATTTGTACAGCCTCACATACTGACATTAGAGACATCTTTAAGCAGGACTATGTGCCTTGACACACTGAACTAGTTGTAAGAGAACGGAATAAAAAAAAAATTATGAGGACTAAGCATCAGCTGGCGAACGTGGCTATTACAGACAGAGAAAAATAAGTGAGGAATCTGTCCACTGCCCCCTCACTATGGGTTAAATAGTAGGTAAAACTGGGCTCTCTATCACTGGAAAGGGATTTCAAAGCCGGTTGGACATGAAGCTACCAACACCACGTCGTACACAGCAACAAAAGCAAGTCTGTTGAGGCTCCATGGAGTGGGCATATATAATGGATGTCGATGCGTTCAATGGGTAAGACTTTTGATGACAAGTTAAATCTATGGTTTTGAATTTTGTCGACCACAGCTAAAAGACTCAATATGCCCTGGTAGTTAACCCATAACTAGGGGGAGATGGATTCATACATTTCCCAAGGTTATTGCGCGGAAGTAGACGTAACGAATTCGGCTGGAATTCGAACCCTGTCCTCTGATTTCACATTCTGAACTGCGATCTATTATACAACACACACACGGTCACGTGGTATGATTTTGATTATCGCCTATAAATATGCTGTTTCTCTTTTGCCTCTTAAGCCAGCTTTCCTTGACGAACCGTTTAGGTGAAACCTGGGTAGGTTTATCTGGATCACTAGGTTTATATATATATATATATATATATATATATATATATAATTTATTCGAAATATAATTTATTCTGGTGTCTTAAGAAGTGATGGTGTGGAATGTAGAATAATGAGTTTCAAAAGGTTCAAATCGATCAAACAAACCCTCCGTGGAGGAAACGCTGTTACAAAAGCTGCAATGACCAATCAAAATACATCAAAAATACAATCAATATATATATATATATATATATACGCATATATATGTGTGCCCATATACATATGCATGCGCGCACGCATACACACACGCGCGCAAACAAACACAGACAGGAAAAAAAAATAATCCTAACGCCAATATTAAGGGCTTCCCAACTAGCGTATGCATTCATTACAAATAGCCTAAAATTAAGGACTAATGAGAAAAACGGCACTCAGTTACTGAAATCTCCTGAAGAGTGGACGAAACAATTACGTAAAAGTCGCGTTGCTGGATATAACTTCAATAGCTAAGTGACAATTTTTATCTATATTAATCCCCACACACACACACACACATATATATATATATATATATATATATATATATATATATATATATATATATATATATATATATATATATATAAAAAAAGCTTAAACACTAATATTCCATGGTGATAATTTATTCCATTGGAATCGTAAATACGATCCAATTCATCAGACCTACAAATTCAAAAAGAAAACAGAAAAAACAGCTCCGAAAATAAAAACAGAATTTAGAGAGAGTGTAAGTATGAGGGTGTGGGACGAATGTTAGAGCTAAATAGAGGGGTAACAGACGAGAGAAGGTGGGAGATTAAACCTTAACAGAGAGAATTTTAGGAGAGGTGAGTGGAAGAGGTTTAAGTAAGAGAAATATGAATGTTATCGGATGTCTAATGCATAAAGATACATTTCGTGGTGACATACACACACCATAGACGATCTAATGTTGAAGATCAGAATAAGAGGGAGGGAAAGGAAAGAAGAGGTGGGGAGAAAGATGGGGCGAAGGAAACTAAAATTGAAGAACATTTACTGAAAGGGTCGCTGTGTAATTAAGAAAATTTGACAAATTTAATGTCGACTACAGGTTACAAATGAAATATAAAGTATATAAAAAATAAATATAATGATTATCTAATCTAGTAAGGACCTATATTTTTATGGTCAAAAACACATGCGAATACACACATACACAATAACATATACACGTATATACATACACATAGGCGTGTACCCACATACACACATACATATACCCATGTACACACATATATAAATATATCCACATATCCACACAAATATACACATACACACAAATACATATATATACATATACACATATACATACATGTATTTTTTTTATATCCTTACTCTGTCCTGGACATTGAGTTCTACCTGGATTCTATCCTCTTGGAATTTTTATTCAAAAAATATACATGTATGTGTATGCACCTATGTATATATATTTATATATTTTGCATATGTATGTGTATATTTACCACTAATATTATATATATATATATATATATATATATATATATATATATAAGCTATAAAATCTAAAATCACCTCATATGAGAAATAGCGTATTTCGACAGACGAAGTTATCAGTTGTCTGTCTTATCAACCACCAGTAGAAAAAACTAATCCAGAGTTTATCCATTTCAATGTTTCAGTCAGACGAAAGGCGCGAGACAGTCGTCGGGGGGGATGGAAGGTATTTGTCTTAAAGGGAAGAAGTTTTATAAAATTACACCCGAATATTAATGTATTATCGTATAATTAAAAACAGAGATTTTCTTTAATATATTATAACTATAAAAATAACGTATAAACAGAAAATATATTAAATATATCTATATATAAATATAATAAATTAATAAAAATTATATTTTTTATTATACATGTTTCTTTTTCATATTAATTTCGAAATACATAACGGCGGCAAACCAGCTTTCATCTATTTATTTACTTGCCATCAAATCATGTGACACAATTTCCAGTCATACAAATTACGTTTTATAATGACACAGCCTCTTCACCTATAAAGTAGTTGCCAAACCTCAGAGATAATTGTTCATAAAAAAAGTTGTAATATAGTGTAGGGAATTGTGTATAGATATATTTTCTGTTACTTATATCTAAATTTATTCAATAATGTTGCTATAATATATTATGAATGTTTATTAAATTTCACACACAATATTTAGAATATAACATGCAAGTGTTTGTTTATATATGTCTTAATATAAGACTGTGTACAGAAAACGAATGCTGATTTCCCTATTAAAAATGCCTTTATAACAGAAAAACTAGCTTGGCTCAAGAACACCTTGCTAATTTTAATGGAATTTGGCACTGTACTATGCAGGGGTTTAATATTCTTCTAAATTGGTTTGGGTATTATTTATCGTTTAAGCTGCATTTCGAGAAAACACTTACAAACATACAAGATTAGAGTTTCAATGTTATATATATATATATATATATATATATATATATATATAAAGAAATGGACAAAGTCCGACAATTATTTTAAGACATTTTTATGTTTATGTACAAATATTTAAGATACAAATATTTAAGTAAATGCTCTATTTATAATAAACAGTATGAATAACATTTACCGGCCTGAATGTCCGAAAAATTGTCACAGAAAATATTCGTCCTCCGACAAGATTCGAACCTGTATCCTATACGGAACCGTCATTTAGCTTGACGTGCCTTAACCGATTTGGCTACAGAGTAGCCTTCGGTTAGCAAGGTTGAATTTACTGCCTTTAAAATTAAATCTTCCATGAATCTCTCACGTACATTCATATCTGCTCAAAGTGTATCGAAATATAAACAAATGACGCCACACACTATGAAATGGACAAAGTACGACAATTATTTTAAGATTATTTTAATATATATATATATATATATATATATATATATATATATATATATATATATACATTATAATTATTTTTTTTAATATGTCTCCATCGCGACACAAAAATAATTATGTTTCGAAACCGAACCTTAAATCTTAAAATTTAACTTTAAAATTTAAACTTAAATTTCGCAGCCTGGTTTGTGGATGCAGTGTCTTTTCAACACAATCTTCCTTGGATTTTCATCGGCCCAAATGCGAAAATTCTTCTTATTAACAAACTCACCAACATAAAAATGGGCTTCATCACTAAAGAGGATTTTTTGCTTCATCGTCTTGTCTTTGCTCGTGAACCCAATTGACGAATGTACAGCGCTCCAAATGATCAGAAGGTTTCAGTTATTGTGTCAATTGAATTTTGTGTTTAGAGACAAATCTTTTGTCAAAATTCAATGTAACGTTGTTATGGAAATGTTCAATTCCTGTGTGCGATGACGAATAGAGGTGTCTGGATTTTCGACCACATTCTCACGCACTGCTGAATGGCGTAAACGAGCATGCGATGGCGTTTTCACATCTGCCACCGACCCAGTTTGAATTTACGAACAATTTTTCAAATTACACTCTCGGTTGGTCGATTATGTTGGCCAAAAAACCGCGAAGTACGCGAAATACATTTCTGTTTGAACGTCCATTTTCGTAACAGGCTTCGATAAAACGTTTTTTGATTATTTATCTTTCGATGGTTAAAATTGCGAAGTTGTTAAATCTGAAACAAAAAGAAAACAAATATTAGAAGATTAAACTTAATTCACATTTAAAATCGGTCCAAGTTATTAGAACACCCTGTATAATACGTAGATTATATAGCCGAAAATACGATATCTATCTTATAAAAATCTATAGAAATTAAAAAAGAAAATCATCACATTATCAAGGCATTTCTTTTTTCTATAAATACTGTCATGGTAACTGTTCTAATGAATTTTCCTCTATGATACCTTGATTTTATGAATTTAAGCGAAATACTAGATTGGCTGTTAGGTCTTGTCATTTTTCACTTGAAATCGCTCTATTGCATTCACTACTCAGACGGTAATACTTTTCAAGAAATGGACATTGCCGTAATCGTCACGCCAGTTACAGCCAAACTGAAGTGACAACAACTCCTTTTTTTTCAGAGAGAGAGAGAGAGAGCGAGAGAGAGAGAGAGAGAGAGTGCTCAGTTGGAATGCCTAGATGAAACCGCAAGTCCTGTGCTAGCAGTTTTTTCTATCGCACTTCTCGCTTCTGGAAGAAGCTGGAAGTGAGTTCCAGAAGCTTCCATCTTTTTTCTTTCCGGTCACCTTTGACCTTCAAAAATTGAAATGCAATGTTAGTCGTTATCTATTGTCTTCTTAATTGTAGTTCTTTTATTGTTCTCTTCCCTCAATAGTATTTTCTCATACTCTCTCACACTCAGTCACCAGCTTGCGTCTTATTGGCTTTATTGCATTGCTTGGGGTGAAATGATAAAAAAATATAACTGACAGTAACGGGAAATCGATTGCTGCCTTGGAAGCATATTGCCCCAATAAGACTATTTCTTGGCATTAGGGAATGTCTAGTACTCTCCAAGCAAGAGTTGTTGTCACTTCAATTTGGCTGTAACCGACCGTGACGACCACGGCAATGTCCATTTCTTGAAGAGTATTAGAGCTTGAGTAGTGAATGCAATAGATCGAATCTAATTAGTGAACTTCTTTGAATCAGCCCCCGGGTCATCGATGAACAAATGCAGTGCCTAAGGCCGAAATTTGTTGGCGTCACTTAGACAAGATATCTCCTTAATTTGGCAACTGAGCGGCAGCAAGATTTTTCTTTTTATTGTCTGCTGATGGAAACTTAGCTTTTATGACTCTGAGCATGCGCAGTCGGGCACCGATGATCACGCCAATCTTTATGATTATGACAGAGCAATCAATGAATGCAGAAAAACATAGATAGATAGATAGATAGATAGATAGATAGATAGATAGATAGATAGAAAAGAAAGTAAACAGTAAAAATAAACATAGATAGATAGATAGATAGATAGATAGATAGATAGATAGATAGATAGATAGATAGAAAAGAAATAAATCAAGAAAGAAAAGATAGATAGATAGATAGAAAAGAAAGAAAGATAGATAGATAGATAGAAAAATAAACGTAGTAAAGAATGTAAAGAGAGTAAAGAAAATAAACATAGCTAAGAAAGTAAACAGTAAAAATAAACATAGGCAGATTGCTAGAAAAGAAAAGATAGATAGAAAAAAGAAAAGAAAGTAAAGATAGATAGATAGATAGATAGAAAAGAAAGAAAGAAAAGAGAGTAAACATAGATAGATAGATAGATAGATAGATAGATAGATAGATAGATAGATATAGATTGCTAGAAAAGAAAGAAAGAAAGAAAGAAAAGAAAGTAAACATAGATAGATAGATAGTTAGATAGATAGAAAAGAAAGAAAGAAAGAATAGATAGATAGATAGATAGATAGATAG